CCCTTAACTGGCCCTACATCTATCGGCGGTATAAGCGCATCTCCACGGGCTACTACACGGCTACCAGGTTTCTCGCCGAACAGCCCTGGTCCAGGTTCGGCAAACGCCTTTTCCTCCGCTTGCGCAGGAGGAGTTGTACAGTCTACGGTAGGAACTTCCATCGGGTGGCACTCAAACACACCCAAGCCTGGTCCATCATCGGTCGCCTCACCTCGGAGCACATTGAATCTTGGGAGGAGGAAAAACGACTTCGTAGTGGACGGCACTCAGACTTCGATATATATGCTATATACAGGCTGTCAGGCAATGTGGAACAGCCTCATCGGCATCGAGTTCGGAATATTTTGCGAAGAGTTCTTGATTTCCGCCAACTCCAACAACCAAGATCAACTTGTTGTTGCGGTTACCGTGGCTTTCTCATCCCCAGTATCAGCGGTCCACCAGGGAAGTCCTTCGTCGGCTGGTTCTCGACCATCGCAACTGGGCTCTTCCATTCCACTTGCCCAGCACGAAGTTGGCGGAGACCCCTCATCCTCGAGTCCATACAGTCATGTGGAACTACTCGTTGTTTCAGGACAATTACCTCCTCACATCAGCAGGACCATCATCGTGTCAGTGCGCAGCCTGGCTAAAACGGCAGCCCTGGCTATCTCATGTTCAAGGCCATGTGGCCGCGGGGTTGGATGAGTTCAGGTTTCCTGGAACTCCACAGCATGTTCATTACACCTCAGCCTTGGCGTCATACTATGTGGACCTGTCCGTCTACGAAGTGCAGGTTCATGAACGTCTACGAAAATGGTGCCTGCACCACGGTCTGCCCCTGGACCAATTCCACGCACCCCTCATGCAGCACCTACGCAATGAATTTCGGAAACACCGGCAGCACGCATCCACCCATCAACTTCTCACCAAGCACCAGCTGAACATCCTGCATCGGCACCTCAGCCAGGACTTTGTGTGCCACAACGAGGACCATGACAACCACCACCTCATGTTCTTCTGCCCCCAACTCTACTTCGAAGGCCTCCACAACACCTGGCTTCAGTCCGGCACATTTGCCGCCACTTCGCTGAAGCCCGACCAGGCCGAGGCTCTTATTGTTGAAGCTATCCCGCGGCACCTGCAGAAGAGGTACAAATGGGCATACAGGAAGAAGACCACCGCGATCCCGGTCGGCAAGGTCTTTCTCAAACGTAAGAAGCAATGGAAATCAGGGCGAACTATTATAGCCTACCATAAGGTGGTGCACCGGCAGCTCTTCAAAGCGGTTGCGATCCTTCTCGGCGAGATCGCAGCGAGTACGTGGAAGTGTTCGTGGGGGGTACACCCCACGCCGAGGATATGGCAGAACGTCAAACAATACTTTGACAACACAGACGATACAGTCACTCTTGCATTTCACAATGACGATTTGGTCGGCTTCTTCAACAGTGTCCCTCAGGATCAGGTGTGCGCAGCAGTTGAGCAGCTATTAGTAGAGCATCGGCGAGAGCATGCTGGTCTTATTTATTCAGTGGAAACTCAGGCGGCAGTTCACTATAACCGGGTCTTTGCGGGTAAGCAATCCTACGGACGCACACCGACCACGCGGGTCATTTATGTGGAAGACATCCTGGATATAGTCAGATCCAGCTTCCAATGCATGTACGTCCAGGTGGGAACCCTCATTCTCCGCCAAGTCCACGGAACAGCGATTGTGGCTCTCAGCTGAGCCCAGTCCTCAGTCACATTTGCGTCGCGCGGCACGAAGTTCTCTGGCAGCGTATTTACGGACAATGGTTCGCCAGCCACAACATCTTCTTGGAGCGATATGTCGACAACAGATTTGTGATTTTCCCGTCTCCGGCTTCCGGTCACCCAGCAGCCCCGTTGGAGGCTTTGCTTCACGCTGACTTTTATGGTGCACCCATCGTGTTGGAACAGGTAGGTTCCTCGGAGTTCCTCGGCTTTGTCATCGACGTAGGCGACCGGGCGATTTACTACAAAACCCCAACAAAGATCTGGCAGATCAGAGGACCCCACACTGCAGGAAGTCTCTCCACCCTTCTCTCCGGGGCTAGATCACGGTCAGCTCTCGCCACCAAGTATGCGCACCCGACACGGGCAGTACAGATGGCGTTGGATCAGCTTCGCAGTATCTATTTGTCCGCCGGCTACAAGTCAGCGGATCTGCAGCACCTGTTTCATCTTCCGGCCATCCCAAACGGAAAGAATGTTTATGTGCTGATTGTCGTTGTTTCTTGAGGTTCGGCTGCGTGGCCCTTGCTGGTCTTGTTTGGTTCGGTCTTTCCAAAAACGGGGTCGGGTTCGGTTGGGCTGTTGGGCTTGGTTTGTTCTGTTTGAGTTCCGGAGCTATTTGATTCGCGGGTTCATCACGGAGCTTATCTGGTGGTTCAAGACGTGGGCCTTTTCGCCGATATCGGAACGCGGTCGTCATGCTGGGACGCATGATTGCACTCCACCACCGGATGACCCAGAACGCTGCGGACATGATGCAGCTCATCCAGGAGACCTTGAATCAGGCAGACGAGGCACACAGTCGCAGGATTCATGGTGGGCACGATGGCGCGTGGCATCCTCATCTCCGAGGTCTATCGCTGGCAGAGTCTTCGCGACCGCGAGCACATGACCATGCCCGACTCGATGAGGTAGAACCACCTGGCCCCGGGATTCGGCGCTCGGTCAACTCGGAGGATTTGGCTGACCCTCCACCGCTAGCCGACGCTCAGTCACTCCAGCTACACGTGGACCACCAGCGCAACGCGGTGGTCAACCCCAAGTCGCTGTCCTACGGCATCGTCACGGGGGATGCCAACGAGGCTATAGATCCACGCCCGAAGAGCTCCATGGCGCACACCCATGTCGGTCAGCCGAGCATCAAGAAGGCCAATGTTCCCAGCTCCATCATGGACAAGGGTGAGACCGGTCGGCGCAGAGCGAAGCGGAAGCGATGCCGAGCTACATCCTCCGAGAGGACACAATCCCCGGAGCCTCCAGCACGTCCAGTACCTCGCACTCCAGCGCCGGCTCCAGTATCTCCTTGCGTGGGCCCATTCTCCTCTCCTGAATCCCTTCCTGAAGCCGGAGGTACCTCGCGCCTGGACAGAGGAAGATGACCAGCAGCTTTGCAGCCTGAAAGCGGACAACCGGTCCAAGTACTCGTACAAATCGCTGGCCAAGAAGCTCAACAGGTCCATTGCGGATGTCACGCAGCGCTGGAGGAGCCTGGAGCGTCTCAGAAAGTTGAAGGAGCAGCACCAGAAAGCGACCATCTCGAACCAATGCACCTAAGCTCAGACGGCGATGCTACATGGTAAAATGATCGTGAGCAGTTAGGCAGGAGTTCTGCCAACAGTCTAAACTACCCATCGGCAATCATGATGGAGGCGGCTTTTTGGCGGTTCGGTTTTTCTTCCCCCTGCGGGGGGTGTGTGTGTGGCCCCCCTGTTCCTAAGGGGTTTTGCGGTCGTGCTTTTCTCTCGTTATTGGAGTCGGGTGCCACCATGCGGATTGCTGATTCAAAAGTACCTCGAGAGTGGCGATGGCACCCCTGATGAGGACGCCTCTCGCGAGCGAAATTGTTTCAGGATACGCATGCCGAAACTCCAACCTGATTCCGTGCTTGCGTCCTCCTACGTTTCGGGGTGCACATTCGCAGTTTGCCGTCTCATATCAAGTGTGTGTGTGTGTGTGTGTGTGTGTGTGTGTGTGTGTGTGTGTGTGTGTGTGTGTGTGTGTGTGTGTGTGTGTGTGTGTGTGTGTGTGTGTGTGTGTGTGTTGGTGTGTGTGTGGTGTGTGCGGTGTGTGTTGTGTGTGCGTGTGCGTGTGCGTGTGCGTGTGCGTGTGCGTGTGCGTGTGCGTGTGCGTGTGCGTGTGCGTGTGCGTGTGCGTGTGCGTGTGCGTGTGCGGTGTGCGTGTGCGTGTGCGTGTGCGTGTGCGTGTGCGTGTGCGTGTGCGTGTGCGTGTGCGTGTGCGTGTGCGTGTGCGTGTGCGTGTGCGTGTGCGTGTGCGTGTGCTTGTGCGTGTGCGTGTGCGTGTGCGTGTGCGTGTGCGTGTGCGTGTGCGTGTGCGTGTGCGTGTGCGTGTGCGTGTGCGTGTGCGCGTGCGCGTGCGCGTGCGAGTGCGCGTGCGCGTGCGCGTGCGCGTGCGCGTGCGCGTGCGCGTGCGCGTGCGCGTGCGCGTGCGCGTGCGCGTGCGCGTGCGCGTGCGCGTGGGCGTGTGCGTGTGCGTGTGCGTGTGCGTGTGCGTGTGCGCGTTGCGCGGCGCGTCGCGTATAGCGCTTGCGCGTATAGCGCGTGCGGCGTGCGCGTGCGCGTTGCGCGTGCGCGTGGCGCGTGAGCGTGCGCGAAAGCTCGTGCGCGTGCGCGTGCGCTGCGCGTGCGCGTGTGTGCGTGGGTTCGTGCGGCGTGCGTGCGAGCGTGCGTGCGTGCGAATGCGTGCGTGCGTGCGTGCGTGCGTGCGTGCGTGCGTGCGTGCGTGCGTGCGGCGTGCGTGCGTGCGTGCGTGCTGTGCGTGCGTGCGTGCGTGCGTGCGTGCGTGCGGGCGTGCGTGCCGTGCTGAGCTGCGTGCGTGCGGTGCGTGGCGTGCGGCGTGGGTGGGGTGGGTGGTGGTGGTGGGTGGGTGGTGGGTGGGTGGGTGGGTGGGTGGGTGGGTGGGTGGGTGGGTGGGTGGTGTGTGTGTGTGTGTGTGTGTGTGTGTGTGTGTGTGTGCGTGTCAACCAATGATTTGTGATTGCTAGTTCTTCATTGAACAAACATTGAACAAACAACGCGGCTTTTGCAGACCTCAACCTCCCAAGCCTTCCATCAACAAATGCACGCTTGGATCGATGTCAACTGACTCATGAAGGACACCAAACACTTGTCAGCAGCAAAACAGCAGAGATGCCAGTTGTTCTCAGCAAAACTAGTTCATAGTCTCAAACCAGCCACCGACCCGACACCAGTATCTTGCAGAGCCAACAGAAACGACAATGTGCTACACAACTCACGTCCCCCCGCCTCAAGTGTAGTAGTCGTGTGGGCTGGGGTTGTTTTTCATTTCTCCGAGCTGGTCTGTTGGGCCAGTTCTTCTCTGGGTGGACTTGCAGACTCTGCCTGGCACTGGCAGCTGAGGGTGTGAGCCATACAACGTGCTGGGCTGTGCATAATGTCCTGGCCCAGGCTGGTCAGGTGGCTTGGTTATGCCGGAGGACCTGGGAATCATGGAATATGCTGGCGCCCGGGGTCTAATCTCGTTGTACTTGGAGCTCATATCTCCAGCCATGCCACCCTCGTCTGCCTTTGAAGAATCCTTAAATTGAGATCCAAAGGACACCTTCTCTCGCATGGTGTACTTGGGCGCGGATGCTTGATCTGCCCGCCCAAACTTGTGACCTGAGTTTGCCCCGGAGCAAACTGTGTTGTAGTCGTGTGGGCTGGGGTTGTTTTTCATTTCTCCGAGCTGGTCCGTTGGGCCAGTTCTTCTCTGGGTGGACTTGCAGACTCTGCCTGGCACTGGCAACTGAGGGTGTGAGCCATACAACGTGCTGGGCTGTGCATACTGTCCTGGCCCAGGCTGGTCAGGTGGCTTGGTTATGCCGGAGGACCTGGGAATCATGGAATATGCTGGCGCCCGGGGTCTAATCTCGTTGTACTTGGAGCTCATATCTCCAGCCATGCCACCCTCGTCTGCCTTTGAAGAATCCTTAAATTGAGATCCAAAGGACACCTTCTCTCGCATGGTGTACTTGGGCGCGGATGCTTGATCTGCCCGCCCAAACTTGTGACCCGAGTTTGGCCCGGAGCAAACTGTGTTGTAGTCGTGCGGGCTGGGGTTGTTTTTCATTTCTCCGAGCTGGTCCGTTGGGCCAGTTCTTCTCTGGGTGGACTTGCAGACTCTGCCTGGCACTGGCAACTGAGGGTGTGAGCCATACAACGTGCTGGGCTGTGCATACTGTCCTGGCCCAGGCTGGTCAGGTGGCTTGGTTATGCCGGAGGACCTGGGAATCATGGAATATGCTGGCGCCCGGGGTCTAATCTCGTTGTACTTGGAGCTCATATCTCCAGCCATGCCACCCTCGTCTGCCTTTGAAGAATCCTTAAATTGAGATCCAAAGGACACCTTCTCTCGCATGGTGTACTTGGGCGCGGATGCTTGATCTGCCCGCCCAAACTTGTGACCTGAGTTTGCCCCGGAGCAAACTGTGTTGTAGTCGTGTGGGCTGGGGTTGTTTTTCATTTCTCCGAGCTGGTCCGTTGGGCCAGTTCTTCTCTGGGTGGACTTGCAGACTCTGCCTGGCACTGGCAGCTGAGGGTGTGAGCCATACAACGTGCTGGGCTGTGCATAATGTCCTGGCCCAGGCTGGTCAGGTGGCTTTGTTATGCCGGAGGACCTGGGAATCATGGAATATGCTGGCGCCCGGGGTCTAATCTCGTTGTACTTGGAGCTCATATCTCCAGCCATGCCACCCTCCTCCGCTTGTCGGCCACTCTTGAATGGAGAGCCAAAGGTGGTCCTTCCTCGCATTGTCCACTTGGGCGGCAGATCAATAGTGGCTTTGTAGGCGCCTGAGAGGCGGCTGACTCAACCAGGCAGAGAACACGTGCAGGAAAAGAAACATCGCCATGGCAAACCTTCCGCCGTAATTAGTATCCCCAGGAGCCTATACCAGTAGACGGTCATGACTTCTTTCTGAACAAGCTGTGGAACTGTCAACTCGATGTCCAGTCCAGGGAATCATCCGCAGCAAGAACTTTGAAGATTTGATAAGGGGATGCCTCAAAATGGGCCTGTTGAGCGCCCCATGTTCATTTGGGGCGGAGCGGTTTTGACCATATGGAACACTGTCCGCCTTTGTCGCGCCATTGCCGCGCAAGGGATCTGTACCCCAAACCACTGCCATGCCCATTTCCACAACGACCGACAAAGTTCCTCATATGTCCGCCGCTTTGAACCATCACCCCGAAAGCAAACTTACCCAAATGAAGTTGAAAGATGCCGACGCGTGTGGCCACAATGCAAGAATACCCACTTGAAGTGGAAGAGAAACCCAGAAAGCAAGGGAAGCAAGGATGAAGGAAGCTCAGTTCAAAATGGTGCGATGTTTTTCACCCATGACTGTGATGTTGACACCGCAGCAATCCACAGCAAATGGGATGATACATATATATATATATATATGTATATGTATTGTCGTGACGATTTATAGATCTTTGAAGCCTCCACCTTGTGGACACCTTGTGGACCTGTGGCTGTGCTCACGGTACAAGTCCCCTGTTGGTGTCCAACTCCAAATGGGGTGTTGTCAAACATACACCCGTTTTGGGACCTGATGCCGCCCAAGGCGCCGCCTTTTCAAGGAGATACCAACAAGGATCCCGACTTTTGACAAACCTCGAAATAGAAACAACAGGGGTCGACCACTTTGATTGAACCTCCGATTTGCCTGAATCTTAGCACCAAAAACCCGCAGCCTGGAATGGCTGCTCCTTTTGCTGGCGCGCTCCGGGATCTCTGGACATTCCGAGCACCAGCAGCCCGGTTCGGCGCTGAAGTCTTGGTGGACTTGGCGGGTGAGGAGTCTGCCTGTGGAGACCTAGGCTCCGCGCCATCGCTGTGTGGTGAAGCTGCAGCTGATGAATCTGCTTGGTCAGCCTGGGCTGCATCTGCATCTGCTGATGGCTGCGCTTGGTCGCCCTGGGTGGCGGCTGCATCTGCTGATGCAGCTGCATCAGCTGATGGCTCTGCTTGATCAGCCTGGGATGCAGCTGCATCTGCTGACGGCTCTGCTTGGTCGCCCTGGGCGGCGGCTGCATCTGCTGATGGCTCTGCTTGGTCGCCCTGGGCGGCGGCTGCATCTGCTGATGGCTCTGCTTGGTCAGCCTGGGCTGCAGCTGCATCAGCTGATGGCTCTGCTTGATCAGCCTGGGGTGCAGCTGCATCTGCTGATGACTCTGCGTGGTCGCCCTGGGCGGCGGCTGCATCTGCTAATGGCTCTGCTTGGTCGCCCTGGGCGGCGGCTGCATCAGCTGATGGCTCTGCTTGTTCGCCCTGG